AAGTCATAGGTGGTGCCTCTATTGGTTGACACTCGATATGTGACCGCAACCACATTTTGGCGTTCCCTTGAAACTGATAAGTCACAAACTCCAAACCAAACCGTTCTACTATACCCATCTTGTGTAGTAGCTCGTGACAGTCAACCAGAAAATCATAGGCATCCTCTAATTCAGCACCCTTGAAGACCGGAGGTTTCAATTTCAAGAACTTACTGAAAAGTTCATGCTGATCATTTGTCATTATAGGCCCAGTAGTCAGACGTGGAAATGTGCCTATGTCCAATGAGGCCTCCATACGAGGAGCCATAGTGGCTGCATGTTGTACTTCTGAAACCGGAGGTGTTGGCGCAGAAAACACTGGAGGTGCCTGACCTTGATCAGATAACCCGCTAAGATAAGCAAGAACCTGATTGATCATCTCTGGGGTAGGTTGGGGTGGCATTTCCTCATTTTTCACTTGTTCATTCACCCCATCCTCGCCCTCTCTTATCACTTCCTCAGCCGGTGGAGGAGTCACCGCCCTAGTACCAGATGGGCTCGGTGCTCGTCCTCTTCCTCTAGAGGACGTCCTCCCACGACCTCTACCACGGCCCCTTGCCGCTGTTCTTCCTCGAGCTACAGCCCCAGTGGCTGGCTCAGACGCACCCTGTACCGCCGGTGCTGGTGTTGGTGTTGGTGTAGTCGTTGCTCTAGTTCTAACCATCTACGAAAGAGGGTGAAGATGGTCAGATACCAATTCGTATCGCCTAGATACCAATTGGACTCAAGTAGTAGCACGAAAGAAAGAATGAAAGAGTGAAATTTTCTTAAAGTCTTATAGCCTCTCAAGGAAAAGTAAAGGCGTCCCCGTACCATTCCTTAAGACTCTACTAGACCTGTTCTTGTGTGATGAGACCAACGAACCTAATGCTTTGATACCAAGTTTGTCACGACCCAAACCGGGTTGCGACTGGCACTCACACTTTCCCTCCTATGTGAGCGAACCAACCAATCTAACTTTAACATTTCAATATAATATCAACAGAAAGTAATGCGGAACACTTAAACTCATTAAATAAAGACCAATTCATTAACTTCTAAAATTCAACATCTATTATTCCCCCAAAATCTGGAAGTCATCATCACAAGAACATCTACGATCAAATGACTAAACTAAGAATATTCTAAAAGCTAAAAATACATAAGAAGTTAGTCCATGCCGAAAGTTCAAGGCATCAAGACTTGAAGAAGGAGATCCAGTCCAAGCTAGAAGCATTAACTCACCCTGAATTTCCGATTTAGTAAGACTGGCTTGAATTACTGTTGAATTGAAGACGATGGCACGTTTGCTGCACTCCACAAATAAACAAGAAGAAAACATAAAAGTAGGGGTCAGTACAAAACACGGGTACTGAGTAGATATCATCGGCCAACTCAAAATAGAAAACAATATATACAAGTAATATCATAAACTCAACTATGATACTCAACATGTAGCAACAACAAGTACTATATCATTAACCATTACCATCATGTTCACACATGAGGACTCAAGCCTCAATACTATACTCATTTGGGAATTATGTTCTTTACATTGAGTATATTAACATCTTTCAAGATTCATTATCTTTATTTCTCTTGTGTCGGTACGTGACACTCCGATCCCCTAAATCTACGTGTCGATTCGTGACACCCGATCCCCTAAATCTATGTGTCGGTTCGTGACACCCGATCCCCTAATTCTACGTGTCGGTTCGTGACACCCGATCCCCTAAATCTACGTGTCGGTTCGTGACACCTGATCCCCTAAATCTACGTGTCGGTTCGTGACACCCGATTCCCTAATTCTACGTGTCGATTTGTGACACCCGATCCCCTAAATCTACGTGTCGGTTCGTGAAACTCGATCCCCTAATTCTACGTGTCGGTTCGTGACACCCGATCCCCTAATCTCTTTCTATCAATTCATCAAGCCTTCTTTCTCACCAAGGCATCATCAATCTCATTACTTTAGTTCATCAAGCCTTCTTTTATATCAAGGCATCATCATTAACAAGAGATTAGGTTTTTATCAAGATTTGGGATTCAATAGCTTCATCATGCTTAATATAATCACAATTATATAATCACGGTTCATGCATGCGTACAATTAAGCACATAGCAGGGTTTTACAATACTACCAATACATATCATTCTCTATTAAGAGTTTACTATGAAAGCATGAAAACCATAACCTACCTCCACCGAAGACTAGTGATCAACAAGCTATCTTTTCAAAATCCTTGCTATCCTCTTCGTTTCTCTCTCTCTCTCTACTTGTTCTCTTTCTTTTGCTGTCTCTCCTTGTTCTTTCTATTTTTTCTTATTCAAACCCTCTTTCTTTTACCCTAATGAACATATAATTAAGAATAAAAGATGGCAATAATGCCCATTAATTAACTTAAGGTTACCTCTTTTAACCCCCAAGTAATTAGACTTATTAACATTAACCCACTAACTTTATAATTAAGGCAAGAATAGTCAAAAACGTCCCTTAAAACGTATGAAGAAATCCGACCCAAACTGGGATTTACTCAACCTGTGACGGGCCATCGTGCCTGCGACGGTCCGTCCTGCAGGTCGTCGCAAAGTTCAGAGACCCAAATTTCCACCAAGGGTCTGTGACAGTCCGTCACGCCTGTGACGGTCCGTCCTGCCATTTCGTTACGAAGTTCAGAGAGTCGATTTTCAGTACCCAATTTTCAGTTTTTCTAAGTGTTTTGAAACGAGACCCTGCGATGGTCCGTCGTGCCCATGACGGTCCGTCGTTGGGTCCGTCGCCTCAGCCTGTTTTTCCAGAATATAATCTAATGCTCAAAACGACTAAACAGGTCGTTACAAGAACTAATGGAGTCAGCAAGCTCAAGTAACCCATTCCAAAGAACAACAGAACAAGGATATACAACAGACAATAGTACTGGAAATATACCACGTAGAAGAGTGTATAGACAGGGTGATGTTCTCCCAGCAAATCTAAAACCAATAGGAAAAAGAATGCCTATAGAAGAACCAAAATACTACAGAAAGGAGGAAGTAAAGGAAAAATATTAAATATAGCAGCACATGATCCACAAAGATGGAATTCAGTAATTGATTTATGAAAAGGAATTGGTGTAGCAGATTTCATAGAAAATTATACTGAAACAGATGCAGAAACTATGTATGAGTATTTAGAAACCTTTTTAGGAGAATCCACCTAAAGCATTATGGGAAGCCTATAAGGTAGAATTCCCAAAGGAGTTCCAATATTTGGCATCATTAGGACCAAATCCATATAACTTTACAAATAAAATTCATACATTAATAACAGGAGAAGACCCTAATAGTGGATTAGTAACACTACAAGAAATGTTGTAATAAAATTAGGGCACTTGAGTATAAGTAACTGGTACCATATAAAGAAATTCTTAAATGATTATTTTTACTACTGTACAATTAGTGGTAATGCTTTCGATCAAGATCTAGGAAAAAAGTTATTTAATAAATTGTCTGGAGCTTTAGGAAGAGAAATAGAAGACAAATGGAGTAAACGAGAAGGAATATTACAAAATCCTCAGGCTAAATGGTCTATAGGACATAGGATACAACACATAATGGAAATACAACAAGAAAAGTGCACGCACCTACAAATACAAAAATAATTAAAACAAAATGAGATGAATTTCTGTAAAGATTTAATATACACTGCTCAAAACTATGATAAAGACCAATATAAAAGAAAAAAAATATAAAAAATATAAACCACAATATAATAAAAGATATAGTAAGAAAGAATACTTTCTTAGAAAATCTTCGGCTAGAAAACCATATCTAAATAGAGATAGACATGTTAAAAAATACAGAACAGATAGAAACTATAAAAATAAGTTAGAATGTTTCACATGCAGAAGTATAGAACATTTGACAAATACTTGTCCTAAAAGATGTAACACAAAAACTAGAAATGCTCAACTAGTAGGATAATTTAATAAAGCATTATTAAATATAAACGAATATATGTCAGATAATGAGAATATTTACTTTGTAGTAAGTATCGATGTAGAAGAGCAGACTAAAGAAGAGAGTTTCCCCAATTCAGAAGGAGAAGAACTAATTAATGAAATAGGACTAGAAGACCTGAACTTAGAAGATTTACAAGTTAATTTTATGAAAATAATAGAATGCGAACATAATTTTGAAAAGGACACAGGTTTAGATAGTAACCCATGTTGTTGGTGCAAATGGTATCCTAGCAAAAATAAAACAGCTAAACGTAGTAAATGTTTTAAAGAAGGATGCATAACTTGCATAGAAAACCAACTAGGACTAATAATCCAAAATAAAAAAGAAATATATAGAAATGAACCTTTAATAAACCTTAAAGTATTAAGTTTAGAAACAAAAGTAAAAGAATTAGAAGACAGAATAATAACATTAGAAAAGGGAAAACATATTGAATCACGGACATCATTAGACAATCAAGAATTAATTAATGAAGAATTTAACACCTTAATATGCAATGAAGATAAAAAAATATTGTTAAAGTATTAAAAAGACTTCAATTAATAGAATACGAAATAGAAACCTTAGCATTAGTAGATTCGGATGTACTAATAGCATCCTCAATAAGAAAATAGTACCTCCAGAACTAATAAAAACCTTAGCAAAGCCGCTCGCAGCCATGCAAATGGACGGAACACATAATGTATATAGACACTATATAGATAAAGAACATATTAGTTTTTTAAACACATGTTCAGAATTCTATAAACCTACTTATAAAATGGATAAAATATGGGTAAGAGACTTGAATATAAGTGTAGATTTTGTATTAGGACTAGATTTTATATTACATAATAAAGGAGGGACTAATATAACAAGTGATGGAATAATTTTCTAAAAAGTGTCACTCATACATCGGTTTTAACTAGTAAATCTAATACCAAAATAAGACATAAATCAAAAGAAAAATATTGCGATAATTGTAAAAATAATTCAACATGTAGTGAAAATGGTTGTAATATAATATCTGAAAATTAATCAGAAATAGAAGAATTAGAAGAATTGGATAATTTAGACAAAAATTATGTTTTAATAGAAATAGCAACAAAATTATATAATTTCAAAACAGGAAATCAGAAAATAGGAAAAATAAAAAACCAACAAGACTTAGACAATATTATAAAAATTCTATATCAAATAGAAATAACAGGTGAAATGCCCTTAAAACATTGGAAAAATAACAAAATTGTGTGTAAACTAGACATTATAAACCCTGAATACATAATAAAAGCTGCTGCGATAGAAGCAACTAATCAAGATCTGGAAGATTTTAGTACACAAATTAAAGAACTATTAGAGTTAGGAGTAATAAAAAGATCAACCTCAAAACATAGATCGGCAGCATTTATGGTAAGAAATCATAATAAAATAGTGAGAGGAAAAGCTAGAATGGTAATAAATTATAAAAGACTAAACGATAACATTAAAACAAACGGATATAAATTACCAGATAAAATAGAACTAATAAATAGAATACAAGGAAAAAGAATATTTAGTAAGTTTGATTGTAAATCAGGGTCTTGGCAGATAAAAATGCATCCGGATAATATTGAATGGACAATCTTACATGTCTAGAATGACATTTTGAATGGTTAGTCATGTCATTTGGTTTAAAAACTGCGCCTCCAATTTTTCAAAGAAAACTGAATAAAATATTCGGAGAATACAAAAGGTTTGTCTTAGTATAGTAGATGATATATTAGTATTCAGAAAGGATATAAAAGAACATTTAGGACATTTACAAACGGTGTTTAGGTTATTTGTTAATAATGGAATAATAATTAGTAAAAAGAAAATGAAATTATGTAAAAATTATATAATTTTTTTAGGAATTATATTAGGAGAAGGAAAAATTAAACTACAACCTCATATAGCCAAAAAAATCTTAGATATGCCAAATAGATTAAATAGTTTAAAAGACTTACAAATTTTTTTAGAAATAATAAACTATGTCAGACCATTTATTAAAGATTTAGGAAAACTTGTAGGACCATTATATTCTAAGACAGGAAGCAAAGGACAAAGAAATTTTAATATAGAAGATATAAGAATTAATGAATGAAGAATTTAACACCTTAATATGCAATGAAGATAAAAAAAAATACTGTTATAGTATTAACAAGACTTCAATTAGGAAAACACAAAATAGATACCTTAGCATTAGTAGATTCGCGATGTACTAATAGCATCCTCAATAAGAAAATAGTACCTCCAGAACTAATAAAAACTTCTTCTAATATTACTTCAATGTTCATTCCTTCTAATGGTACTTCCTTCAGGATGCTTTTTTCTTCTATATCTCTGTGAGTTACATAGTTATAATCTGTAAATCTAATCGAAGGTTCACCCTTAGAATTTATGTACATTAGATTAGCATCAGGAATGAAACTTTCTCTTTTCATAAAATCATCTAATTTCCAATCTAATCCCGCGTTTTTTTCAAGATTTATCTTTATAGGTTTTACTAGTTTTATTCCTTTATTTCCCATTACTTCTACTATATCTTTTTTTTTTGTAATTTAAATCTAGTATTACTGTTGTCTGTTATTTTTCCTAAACATCCTATGCACATTAGTAGGTTTTTTCCATTTTGAATTTCTTCATATCCTTTAGTTTGTAATCCTATTTTAATATGTTTTCCAAATTCTTTTAAATTCATCATGAAGTCTGGACTTATATAAAATATTCCTCCATTATTTGTCATATCTACATCAGTTAATCCAATAATTGATTTTTTTAGGTCTGACAATCTGTCATTATATATTACAATTAATATCTTTATTCCTAATTTTTTTCTAGTTAACCCCTAACACCTATTATTATTAATCCATATGCATTAAGTCTTTTCTTAATGAATCTATTGTTACTGTTCACTTCTTTCGCTTAGCTTTTGTTCCTAATTACAGTCTTCTTTAACCACACCCCGGATATGGTCACTAGTAGTTCTTCCTTAAGAACATTCACCATGACCTATCAGATTCCTAGGAATTTACAGGCTCATCCATCGATGCTTAGGGGCTAAGAGACTAACCATATACTAAGTAACATAGATTCATATTAAAGAAAATATATTAAACAAAATAAACAAGCATAATTTACATATATGAGAAGTTACTAGATCTAAAAGATGAATACTTACATAATTAACGGAGTGAAGTTTCCCTTTAAAAAAATTTGAAAACTTACATAAAAATAATTTTTTCAAACTTAGTACAAACAATACATATATACATATATATATATATATATATATATACATATACATATATATATATATATATATATATATATATATATATATATATATATATATATATATATATATATATATATATATATATATTGTTTCTTTTTCATGCAATTTCAGAGACTTTAGTTTCAATACTCAAAAAAATACTAAGAGAAATAAAAGTAATAATAAAGTAAAGATTTATGTTAAAACGACGAATTTTTCATCAAAGTAGGTCATTATTAAAATTAATTTATCAAAGATAATATATTATTTTAAAATTTTACAAAATTAGTATAAACGTAGTTCTCAATAATGTTATAGGTAACATTTTATTCAAAAAAATTCAATAACAAAAAGATAAAACTACGGCAGAGTAAACAGACATAATATGTAATTGTCAGTAACGTCTTATAATTCGTACTCTAAAGCACGTTTTACAGCTAAAACGTGACTCACAGTAACATTTCTCTGAGATGGTTGAAAATTGAAATTTCAATCTTGTACGTGCCTCATTCATTATTCAGATTTCCACTATTAAAATAGATAGATATAATTGTACATACCTTCACTTGAAATATGTATGATTTTCACTTTTCTTTTTCTTTTATACATAGACAATACCTTTTTAAACAAAAAGAAAAAAAAAATGTGAGAAAAACTTTGAACAAATTGGAGCTTGTCTTATATCTTTTCAATTTCAAAATTTGCGAATAAATCATATGAGAGATCTTCTTCGAGTCTAAGTAATCATTCCTTCCAAATAATAGACCAATTGGTTTCTTACGATTATTGAATTGATTAATGCAATAAGTAAGCAAGACAACTATTAAAAAAATAAATTAATTGATATCGTAGAAAATCCCTCGTCGCTCTTTTTTTCTTGCAAAAGTATTATCTATGTATAAAAAGAGAAGATAAGAGAAATTTATATATAAAGTTGAATGAGACATGTATGAGATTGAATTTTAATTTTTAATCATTCCAGAGAAACGTTATTGTAAGTCATGTTTTAACTGTAAAACGTGTTTCACAGTAACGAAATATAAAATGTTACTGACAATAACATTTTGAGTGTGTTTACTCTATCAAATTTTTGTCTTTTAGTTATTGAATTTTTTTGAATAAATTATTACATAAAACTTTAATGAGAATTACGTTTATATTAGTTTGTAAAATTTTAAAAAACTCTATCAGATTTTTGTCTTTTAGTTATTGAATTTTTTTTAATAAAGTATTACATAAAACGTTAACAAGAACTACGTTTAATGGCTTACTATGGTCAAACTTCCTTAAAAAGATACTCCCTCCGTTTCAAATGGATGATCTAGTTTAACTTGGGACGGAGTTTAAGAAAAGAAAAAAGATTTTTCTAATCTTGTGGTTCAAAAATAAAGTTATGTTAAATGTACCAAAATGTCCTTTAATCTTGTGGTGTTAAATATGTCAAGTAAAAAGTTAAAGTTAAAGTGTTATCAAAAAAGAAAATGAAACATTCTTTTTGAAACGAAGTAAAAAAAAAGTCATTCTTTTTAAATGTAGGGATACAAAACAACAATATATCCAATAAAACAACTCAAATAATTAGAAATAGAAATAAAAGCAATAACAAAGTGAAGATTTATGTTAATCAACAATTGATATATCAGTTCAAACTACTGTAAGTCTAAGAAGATCTTAGTAATTATTTTGAGATAAAAAAAAATCTGCAGTTCTAGCATTTAAGTTTTAACGGAGACATAAGATACATTTCAACAACAAAGAAAAAAGACATAATACTCACTTGTAATAACTTTGAATAACCAATTTCTTAGCACTGAGTCTCTTCACACCTATAAACAATCGATACAACATATTTTTAAATCACTGACTAGAACATCTTAATATAGAATATTTATATAGAAGAAAGCTGATGAGAAAAAAATATAAGTAGAGATCACCAAGCAACAATGGAAATAATCAATTGGAAATTAGAGAGCCATCAATTCTGTATAAATTAGTAATAGAGTAAAAGTAGAAGGAACATATAGAAGTGGGAAACAACTGTCTTCCCCTAAACTAAAAAATAGACATGTGTACCAAAGATAAAAATTCAAGGGTTCATATTGAATGTTGCTACTTTACAAGTACAATCTTTGTTGTTTGTTGTACAAATATATATATATATATATATATATATATATATATTAATGTTTGATTTAAGAGCAAAATAACAAAATGGTGTGTATCTTAATGCTTGCAACGAAAATTATTGATGTTGATTTTACTAGCAAAATAAATTGCTCCAAATACCTCTTTGAATAACTAAAGAGGTCGTTTGGCAGAGCATATTAGAAAAAATAATTTATTAGCATTGTGTTTTATTAGTACCTTGTTTGACACTCTTTTCTAATTTATGTGTAACTAATGATTGCATTAGTGGAAGATATCTTTGTAAATTAATTTTTTTATGTAATACATATTATTTTAATACATTAAACAAAACAATGCATAAAAATAATTTATGTATAATTAATTTAAATATAACTAATAAATATAATTCTAACGCAAGAATTACTAATACACTTTATTTGATATTATTCTTATTTAATCCACTAAACTACACCTAAGTGTTTGTTAGTGAGTCGTTTAAATATTAGCAAAAAAGGTTCTGTCATGTATGCTCTTCTGAAAAAGAAGAGGTCTCCTTTTAAAGGAGAGGTTTGAACAACTACAACTTTCTAATTGTTCCCTCTTATTTTCAAAAAGCAATTCATATCCATTTATATAATTCTTTTATGAAGAAATTAAATAAAATGGATCAGGTCGGATAAGATCAGATTGATCCACACGGACGACCTACAACTATAAATATACATTTTCCACTTTGCACATGGTGGACAAGATCTAAACCGATACAAAATCAATTAGACACACAATTCATAGGACAAATGGTTCATGTAATTTGTTAATATCAAAGTTTGTCTTCAAATTTTACTAGTCATACATAGGAACTCAATCACATGTGAAAATAATTCACTACAAATAAAGGACATTATTAGTCACAATACCCGAGATTTCATTCGCTACTTTAGTAATTACTTATTCGATCAGTCATCCTCTTAAAGAGATTAACAAGAGTTTATGTTTTACTTCATACTCATAAATATCAATATGGTTAGTTCAATAGTTGGTTTTTGTATACAAGAATTCAATTAATCGTCTTTCCTTTTTACTCGAATCTATCTATTACAACTGAATTGTTTTTCCAGACATACACTGCATTGCAGTATTCATGACTATTAGTAACATGTTAAAGTATAAATATCGATTTAAACTTCAAGACACAACAAAAGGTCAACGAGGTATTTCGTTGAAAATTCCTTTTAACTTTTAGGGGTCTCACATAATGATGAAGTAGGGAACTGTTTTTTCATTACCCATTGATAACTACACACGTGATATGAAACACGTGCTACAATTTGTTCACCTTATACTAGTGTATGTGTCTCATTTTTTTTATTATCCTACATCGTACAGACCTTGGTCTTAACACCTCAAAAAAATTTAACCTAGTTTCTCTCTTCAGTGATCCTTAAACTCATTTTCTTGGAGAAACACTTGTGTGACTCATAAAACAAGTCATAATATCGTGCTGAAACTTAACTTTTCACATTCCTCGATATAAAAGGTGATTGTTCGTGCGAGAGAGTCAATGTCACGACTTGTTCGACATACTTTATTTCTTACAAAATATGCATACTATATATGAACATAAATTCGATAGTATTTATATATTTAAGAATATTATAACAACCACGTTATCTGACAACACTGAAAAATCATAAAATCCTCTGCAAATCTAAACCTTAGCATATTTTTCAAACAAATCTGTAAAGATAACCTTTTGTAAAAGAATCAACTATCATTTTACATGTGGGAATGCCTTGAAAAGATATTTCTGTTGGGATTTAGCAAGTGTGAATGAGAAAAGAAAAGAGAGAATATGAATAGTGACGGAACTACTTTAGAGGGAAAATGAAAAGTCATTTGCAAAGTGCAAATGAAAAGTCATTTCTCCCATATCGGCAAAAGAAAGGGAAATTGTTGCCTTTATAGAAGGAAGCACTTCCATTACTTCTTAAAGAGCTAAGAAGAAGATTCCCCCTCGCGCCGTCGTCGTCGTCGCTCGCTCGGCCTCAGCCTCGGCTTCGGCTTCGGCTTCGACTTTGTTAAATCAAATAAATCTTGCTAAAATTATCTCTTATAAATTTGCAGGTAACGCTAACATTCCGAAAAGTTGTTACTCTTTCCGAAAAGTCGTTACTTTCCAAAAAGTCGTTATTTTCCTAACAGACACAATTTTCCAAAAATTTGTTACTTTTTCCAAATGACACAACTTTTTGGATAAAATGGGTCTGAACAAATTTCACTGAACAGACATGTTCCTTGCTGAAAATGACTATAAAAGGAAGTCAATTTTTGATTTTTTAAAAAACTGAAAATTTTTCTTTCACTGCATTTTTATTTTTCTCTCAAATAAAATCAAAGTGTCAATCCACTGAGTTTGTGTGACTTGTTGTTGTTCTTAAGTTCGTTGAAGTTAAAGAAATTTGAGGTACCGCTATTTCTTTAACAGGTTTAATCCATTTTATCTGGGGAGAAATTAATCCATAACCTTGGGTACAGTGAGGGGATTATATTTTTTAAGGACACACAGTAGTTTCTGTAGACTCGGATTAATTCTTGTATTTTGTAATTTTTTCTGCTTCATCTTATTTCTGTTTCTGTTTATTAACCTTATAAATACAGGTTATTGTAAGAATAACAATCTTAAGAAATTTAACAGTTTCTGTGTTTCAGGTTTCTGGAGATTAAAACCTTTATGGTTTTCTACACTGCTTGAATTTTTAAAATTCATTCGATTAACAATTAAAAGAACATAAAAACTTCATCGTTAAATCAGAAACAATTTTTGTAAAGATTTGTTCTTTACTGTTAGTATTTCAAATACTTAACTTATCTGCCATTTGTGATAGAAAAAAAAGACTAATTCAAGTCAAACAAATGCTGGACAGTAAGTGCTGCAACAACATCGGTTGCACATAATCGTCCAAATGCTGCCTTAGCGCCGGCTGAGGAACCTGCAAAGTTTTCTAGAGTCGACTTTAAGAGATGGCAGCAAAAGATGTTCTTCTATCTCACCACATTAAGTCTGCAGAAGTTCATTAATGAGAATGTTCCTGTTATGTCAGATAAAACTCTGGCTGATAAACGATTCTTGGTAATAGAAGTATGGACACACTCAGATTTTTTGTATAAAAATTATATTTTGAGTGGTCTGCAAGATGATTTGTACAATGTGTACAGCAATGCCAAAACCTCAAAAGAACTCAGGGATGCTTTAAAAAAGAAGTACAAAACCAAAGATGCCGGAATGAAGAAATTCATTGTGGCAAAATTTCTAGACTATAAGATGATAGACAGTAAGACTGTCGTCACCCAAGTTCAAGAATTGCAGGTCATAATCCATGATCTTCTTGCTGAAGGATTGATTGTGAATGATGCTTTTCAAGTGGCTGCAATTATTTGAAAGTTACCTCCATCGTAGAAGGACTTTAAAACTACTTGAAACACAAACGCATGAAGATGACTGTTGAAGATCTCATAGTAAGGTTGAGAATCGAAGCGGATATAAGGCTGCAGAAAAGAGGTCACGTGGTAATTCACCAATATCTGGAGTAAATTTTGTTGAAGAAGATCCCACAAAATTAAAGAAAAGAAAGAAAGCATCTAGTCCAAAAAGCAATCCTCCTAAGAAGAAATTCAACGGAAACTGCTTTAATTGTGGTAAACATGGTCATAGGGCTAATGAATGTCGGGGTCCTAAGAAAGACAAGAAAAAGAAGGATCAAGCAAACTTGGATGAATCCAAAGGAAAAATGGACGATCTCTGTGCAATGCTTTCAGAATGTTACTTGGTTGGAAATCCAAGAGAATGGTGGATAGATTCTGGTGCCTCATGCCATGTTTGTGCCAACAAAGAATTATTTTCATCATATACTCCAACACTTACAGATGAAAAATTGTTTATGGCAAACTCCGTTGTTGCAAAGGTGGAAGGAACTGGCAAAGTTCTATTAAAGATGACATCAGGCAAGGTGGTGACTTTGAATAGGATCTCATATGTTCTAGAATTGAGAAAGAATTTAGTTTCAATTCCAGTTCTAACCAAGAATGGATTTAAATGTGTATTTGTTTATGATAAAGCAGTAGTATGCAAAAATGATATGTATGTAGGAAAAGTCTACCTTAGTGATGGCTTTTTCAAACTCAATGTAATTGCAGTTGATATGAATAAAGATTTTGCTTCTTCTTACTTGATTGAGTCTAAATGTTTATGGCATGAACGTTTGGGACACGTTAATAACAAAACCTTGCGAAAACTCATTAACTTAAAAATTTTGCTAAAATTTGAGTGCAATAAATCAAAATGTTAAATTTGTGTTGAATTTAAGTATGCTAAGCATTCCTATAAATCTGTTGAAAGGAATTCAAATCCTTTAGAATTGATTCACACTGATATTTGTGACAAGAAGTCAACACCATCACGTGGTGGGAAAAAATATTTCATAACTTTTATTGACGATTGCACTAGATATTGTTATGTCTATTTGTTAAATAGTAAGGATGAAGCAATATATGCATTTAGGCAATATAAAATTGAAGTTGAAAATCAGTTAGATAAAAAGATCAAAATGATCAGAAGTGATAGAGGTGGAGAATATTAATCTCCATTTGCAGATATATGTTTTGAAAATGGAATAATCCATCAAACTACTGCTCCCTACACTCCTCAGTCTAATGGAATTGCAGAAAGAAAAAACAGAACTTTAAAAGAAATGATGAATGCATTACTTATAAGTTCAGGTTTACCACAGAACTTGTGGGGGGAAGCTATCCTTACAGCAAATTATATACTTAACAGAGTGTCTCACTCAAAGACAAATGTAATTCCATATGAGAAATGAAAAGGTAGAAAACCCAATTTGAAATATTTCAAAGTGTGGGGGTGTCTAGCCAAAGTCTAAGTTCCTATACCTAAGAGGGTAAAAATAGGACCTAAGACTGTGGATTGTGTATTCAT